TGAGTAGATGATTGACTGTTTGTGCCTCTTCTTTACACATGTAACACCTGTTACATAGAACAAAACCTCTCTTCTGCAAGTTCTCCTGAGTTAGAAAAGCTTCCTTTGCTGCAATCCAACCAAAACAGGCTACTTTAATAGGCGCTTTAATGTAATTTATGACTTTTTGTTTTAAGTAAAGTGGAGACAAGATTGTAAGATGTATGAAACTTGTTAGTCGTGTTGAATTAAATATGTAGGAGCAGGACAGTTTTAATATATGTATTATATCTCCTTTAACAGTGATAACTGGTTTTAACATGAAAAGAACGCTCTCATAGTGTTTGGTAACTTTTTAAAGAAGCAATTTTCATTGTTGGAGGATCTGGAAAAAAATTCTTTTTCCTGAGAAGTAAATTTCGAGCTTTCGAAGTCCTAAAACTTAGGCATAACTTTGGAGGACAGGAGGCTTATGAGTTCGTACTGTAATTTCAGATTAATATGCAATAATAAATAGGTTTACAGTTAGATATTTACAAATATTTAGTGAATTTTTTAATATAAATACAGGGTCTCCCGGAAACCCGTATTCTAATGCTCTAGGTCCGCCCCTGCCCCTAAGGAGATAGCCTAGCGGCGAAGAGTTAGAGATTTACGCAAAAACCTTGGTGGACCAAAATTCAAATCTCGAAAGACCTTTTCTTTTCACCCGTTTTTACATTGCATTTGCTAAGACAGGTAACATTGAATGTTTGCAAGCCTCGTGTCTTTGTAGACATAAGAATGAGGCAAGAAGTTCACGAGAAACTGATAGTCGGGCCTGAGGTTAAGCCCTTTTTGGATTAGCTGATTAAAAGTAGTCAATAAGCATAAACTGTTGAAAAATACTTTTAGGTGCTGAAACTAAATTTAGAAAATATAGTGGTCAGCGGAACACTTGTTTTTAATGTTTGGAGCTGTTTCTATATGTGACAGTGTGTTTCATGGGTAATGCCACTGATGATCAAGAGTGCACTGGATAGCTGACGAAGTCAGCCGATGCCTAGAAACCTATGTTGCTCGAACTTTTCAAAAATTCTGCCGGGTGCGTATACGATCCTCCAAAAGTAGTGCATTTTTGGAGGATCTGACACGGGTGCGACAATATTTTTGAAGAGTCCGAGCAACATAGCTAGAAACCTGAAGCAGATTTGGAAAACCATCCTCATGTGCATCTTCTCGACTTTTTGGCTGGAAAGGAATAATGTTGCTTTGGAGGAAGGAGGATGCATACTTCTAGCATTAAGAATACTTGCTTGCAGAATTTATATTTCTGGTGTAAGTCTGTCAAATAGTTTGCTTTTGAATATTTAAATAAACTATAGAAGCTGTTACATTCACACAGCTTCCAATGTGCTAGCTCTTTTTGATTAAGCTTTAGATGAGTCGGAGCTGCGTAATACAGTGTTATATCAAAGAATCTTCGTGTTTGGTTTGACGAGAAAGTACATAGCCATCATATGAGGAAGCACTGCTCTGCATACACAACATTGGGACAAATATCTGCTAGGTATTTGTATTAAAGCTGTATGTTTCTGTTGTACATTCATTACTGGATTTCTATATGAAAGAGACAAATATCTTTTGCATATTTGGTCCAAACGCCCACTATGTCTTTTCTGTCTCTATTCCTAGAGTCTATGTAATTTATGACTTTTTGTTTTAAGTAATTAAAGATATTGTAAATTTAATTACTAAGGTATGAGGAGCTAACAACTCGGTCATGGTTTCCTGATTTGACCTGAAAGTTTGTAGTTTAGGAAGCAAGATACATCTATGGTTTTTCTATATGTCAGAGTAATGTTAGCAAAGTGTAGTAATTGAATCTCCTGTATCTTTTTTGTGTTGCTAACTTTAACCCGGATAAGTTCCTCTCCAATTATGGTATTCTTGCTCCAGCTTTAACCAGTTTCCCTCTAGTTCTGAATTTACAAAATATGAGCCATGTTGATCCACACGCCATTGTGGTGAGACAGCTTAGCCAGTCGGACGGAGATCGAACGCCATTGTCGCGCACATGATGGTATTGTGTTCCTATGTCTACCTGCATACATTGGAGTGAGACAGCTTAGCCGTTCGTACTCCATGCCATGTGCATGCTGGTGTGTCGGTACTAAGGATCTCCCAACCTAAAATGATAATGCTTACTTGAAGTTTTTACTTTTTGTTTTAAAATTGGCATTTAAATATTATTGAGGTTCCTCAACAAGCGGAGTTGGTTCTTGATAGCAGTATACACTCCACTCAGTGGATTCTGGTGAGCCCTACTCTACACCGGGGCCCATATATCGTCTTGTTTTCTTGTACACTGCTTTTGAGGTATAGCCGGGGCCTTTTCACCGGTATTTTTATATTGTACTCATGTTCGTTTAGAGACTCCATAGACATGTTGTGGGTTGTGTTTGATTTGGAAAATAGCTAACTAAGAATGTTGTAGTTGTTGGATATGTTCCCACTGTTAAACTATGAACTTGTAATCTTTTGGTAAATATCAATGAAGCTCCTACAAGTAATGAAACCCGTTACTTCACATTTTATGCTCTCACGTCTTTATCTTGATTTTAATTATCAAATAATTCATGGATAAGGTTGGGTTGAAGGCATTAAATAGGCTTGTTTGGCCGGGATATCTCGGTTGAGCGTCAGTCGCGCTCCCCAAGGTTGGGTTAAAATAGCACGGTCTAATCAGTTTTCGAACTGGTCATTCAAAAATAGCCAGCGTTTGTTAAGTCATTGAAAAATAGCCACTACTTTGTTGCAACAAAGACCGGTCCAGCATAATATACTGGAGTTCGGTGCACCTGTGTATGAACTTCCAGCATATTATGCTAGACCGGTATACGTTGCTGGCTCCAGTATAATATACTAGAGACTGGAGCACCGGTGCTCCAAACTCCAGTGTATTATGCTGGATCGGTATATTATACTGGAACTCCAGTATATTAGACCGGGGTTCATGGATAAGGTTGGGTAAAAGGCATTGAATAGGCTTGTTTGGCTGGGATATCTCGGTTGAGCATTAGTCGCGCTCCCCAAGGTTGGTTAAAATAGCACGGTCTAGTCAGTTTTCGGACTGGTCATTCAAAAATAGCCAGCGTTTGCCAAGTCATTAAAAAATAACCACTACTTTGCTGCAACAGAGACCGGTCCAGCATAATATACTGGAGTTCAGTGCACCTGTGTATGAACTTCCAGCATATTATGCTGGACCGGTATACTTTGCTGGCTCCAGTATAATATATTGGAGACTGGAGCATCGGTGCTCCAAACTCCAGTGTATTATGCTGGACCAGTATATTATACTGGAACTCCAGTATATTAGACTAGAGTTCCAATATAATATACTGGAACTCCAATATATTATGCTATAGTATTTTTCCAGATTTTGAACAATGTTTTCGTTCAGATTTATCTTTACATGAAAAGTGGCTAAATTTCGATTACTTTTAAAACTGTGACGCTATTTTTGAATGACCACTTGTAAATCTGGTTATTTTTGAATTTCTCCCCAAGGTTGGGGCTATGCTGAATGATAAGAATAAGAGTGGGCTTATCCATCATTAGATTATGCTAGAGTAATAGTAGGACTAAATTATTATATTGTCATTATGTAGAGAGGGGTTGCTCTGATGGTAAGCAACCCCCACTTCCAACCGAGAGGTTGTGAGTTCGAGTCTCCCCAAGAGCAAGGTGGGAAGTTCTTGGAGGGAAGGATGTCGGGTTTCTATTTGGAAACAGTCTCTCTACCCTAGGGTAGGGGTAAGGTCTGCGTACACACTACCCTCCCCAGACCCCACTAAGTGGGATTATACTGGGTTGTTGTTGTTGTTGTTGTGTCATTATGTAGAGAGAGAATAATTTATAAATTATCCATCATTATGTCGTCAAATCATTTAATTCTTTATTTTAAAAAAAATTGAATTGTCTCTAAATCAAGGTGTCGTACTTATAAATACATGCTGATGTTACACTAAATTGTGCAATCACTTTTAAGAAAAAACTTAGATTATTATTTATTAGAGAGATGAGCTTTTACATTAAATTTGCAAGAGGACTGGAGAAACATTGGACTAGAGAGATGAGCTTTTACATTTAAGATTACCAAGCCAAATTTTAAATAATCATAAAACATTCACTAGATTAAGATCATATTTACTGGATTAAGATCATAACCTCCAAAATCCTTTTTGGAAAGGTTTACGTAATCCATGAGGTACAAAGGTTTAGAGTTAACACCTTTGTGTAACCCGAATTCAGAATTTATAACAACAACTCGATATAATTTCATAAGTAAGGTTTAACGAGGGTAGGATGTACGTAACCTTACCCCTAACCTAAAAGGGCAAAAAGACTATTTCTGGTAGACCCTCGCTAAATGAAAGATGATTTTAGAAGATAGATTTAAATTGGCAATGTCAAGTTGCCAAATAGAACAAAATGAAGAAACTCATTACTCACTAGATAGTAGATACAATCTCTTTGATTAGTTTTACAGATATTTGAGTCACAAAAATATGAGTGATGGTCATAAATCTCACCCATACCCCTTAGATCAGCCTATCTATACAAATATCAGCCACGTGGCAATATCACATTAACTGCTTATCTGCAACCC